TGTAAGCTCCTTGTTTCATTATTGTACTTGTATCCCCAGCACCTAGGATGGTACCAGTCACATAGCAAACATTTAATAAATAATTATCAATTGATTGTGAAGCATTACCTTTGGAATAATTTATATATTGGTAGACTCAACAACTGATGGGAAAAAATGTTTTTAAAGATACTTCAGATCAATCAACTAAAAATACTCCAACTTTCCAAAACAGTTAAAATTTAAACTACCCTTCTACTTTCCAAAGTAATATATTCTAAATTACTGAAAATACTTTTTGTAGTAGATACTATGCTAGTAATCAAAGTCATAAATAAAGGCCTTTAAAGACCATGGAAAAGAATATTAGGTACCTCATATATGTGGAATTAGAGGAAATCTATTTTATATCATTAAAAAACTTGTTTGAAATAAGCATTTAAAGTGATTTATTATGATGCTCTATTACTTTATTTTAAAATAACAATTATCTACTCTATCAACTGGTGTTTGCATAAGTATTATTCACTGTACTTCAATCCAAAATCCTAGGACAAAAACTTTCATTAACCACACTCACATAGCTACCAAATCTACCTCTGTCTATGTAATTACATTTTTTTTTGTTTAAAACATTTAACATACTTTTAATTTTAAATTCTATTCTCTTGAATATTCTGCTGTACCATATGGAACTAGGAAGCCTTGGTGGAACAACTTACAAAGCAATGATGTGCACATACTTCTATATTACGTAAAACTAAAAAAAAAAAAAATCCATTTCCAAATTATATCTTGAAAATAAGGAAAGAAAACTTAGTCAGTGAGATGGAATGGAATATTAATGTATACAAAATGTCATTAATGATAACTGTCATTCAGTGAGCTCAGGTAAGCCCATGGTAGTTACTAGTGAACCCTGACCTTATGTAAGTTTGTCCAATTTCTACTTCCCAGAGTAGGAAGGCAAGAAAACAATTATTCTTCCCCAAACACTTTTAAGCACAGCTTCCACATTAACTGCAAGGCAATTTGTTTTTGGCTAGTGTGTCACCTAAATAACCCAAATATTTTAAAGTAAAGGTGAATTCTGAGTTTAATTATAATAAGGAAGTCATATTTGATAGAACCACGATTTTCTGAAGTCTAGGCTGCTTATACTTTTATTTACAAAAAAATTAAAAAAAGATGGTAAGTTGCACGTTATTTTGACAGTGGCACACAAAGAAATAAATCAAAAGTATTTTCTTTTTCTATTTTTAATATATGTTAAAACAGTCAACTCCTGATTTACTTTTTTACATAAATAGATTAAATAAGATTAACTAACTGTCAAAAGCATGTCAAATTACAGTATCCACTAGCTAAGAATTCTGTTAGATGTAAAACTCTGCTGGTGGTCATTTTGCCTTAGGATTTTCAATATAAATGAGGCTAGAAATGATAGGGGTTGGGAGAGGGGTCTTACCGCCTGAACATCATTGAATGGAGGTAAACAAAAAGATCAAGAATTAGTTATCTACAAGGCAAAAAAAAACTGCTTAAAAAAATCAACTGAAGTATATTCTCAAAAATATCAGAAATTAAAACACAAGTTTTGCTGTTTTGAAGACTTTCTCCTAAACATTGTCAACCTCTTTCCTGGTACAAGTCAAAACTATTTTTTTATTTAATTAAATTAGAATCTTGTTATTTTTATTTAATCCATGTAGACCCCGAACTGAGATGTGAATAATCAACATATTGGTGAATATAATTTTACAAGTTGAAATATATAAGAAGAAAGGTGAAATCACAGTGAATGGAATATATTTACATAAATAGGGAATACCATCTAAATTTATTGGCATGTATCCCTCAGAAGAATTATGTTACTATATGTCCCATGAGGCTATTTACCTATAGATGATGTGTGGTTAAGATTGGTTAAAAAACTGTTCAATCCATACTTGAGTAGACCTATCTCATTCGTCTCATTAAAAAGATGAAATAATGAATTTACTCAGTGTATTTGCCAATTCCAGGACAATGTGTTTTAAGCAATACCTAACGCAGTACCATTAAATAATTCTACTTACAGCAACTGAATATGTCTAGTCCTTCTTTCTATTTGTATGTTTAGGGATGAAATGATCTTTTAAGGTGTCAGATTATGAAGAAAAATAGATTAGTACTTCATAAATAGGTCTTGTCAGTTTGTATTAAAAACATCTGTCTTATTTGTGGGAATCAAATATATCTTAAAGGCCTTCATTTAAACATTTTTTAAAGTTCCCAAAATGGAACATCATACAATTCCATTTCCCTACAAAATATGTTTTATTATGTTTAATGATATATGAATGCTATAATTCATGTAAAAAAAACCCTACAAAATTCTACTTTTACCATGAATGGAATTTTAATAATCACAGACTTTTATATTTCACCTACAGCAATTAAAATTTGATTCCTTAGTCTGAACAATGATCTATAAACTAAATTCCAATATTCTGTTTGTACTTGCTTTTACCATTCCAAGAGATTTGCAATGATGGATGTTCAGAGGAGAAAAACTGATTTGAGTCTTAGCTTTTGAATGTTCCATAGTGACCCACAGACTGGGTCACATGAAAGTCTATTAGCAATTGCAACATAAGCTATATTTTTGGTTATTGTTCCTGCGGCTGTTACATGAAAGTGTAAGAACTACTAGGAGTCAATAGGTGGCAGTACATCTCCTAGAAAAGAGGCTGATGATGAATAAAATCACCATGCATTCTGGTTCTATTTCCAAGAGGCTTCCATACTGCTTAATTACACACTTTTTAATATCATGCTTTATAATGCTAAGGCATACTTTATATGCACCTTCGTTGTAACTGTTTTAGATACAGAAACATAAAAACATTATAAATGTGTCTGAAGGAATAAAACACTGAACGTTTGTCCTTGAACTTGTATGCCAACATAGTCATCCATTTAATAGCATGTTATATAGAGTATTTGAAAACTATGATGTCAAATTCAATGATCTTTTGAAAAATACTCTAGTCTGGAGTAAATTATTTTTAGAGCTATATTTTTGCACTATATATAGTTCATGATGAAAATTTCTTTCCCTTTTGTGTTTTTCTCCCTATTAACAAACTACTCATTTTAAAGACTGCATTTCTGGCAACCTATGAAGTAAACATAATCTTTAAATACTTCCTTCACCCAGGTGAAAGTAATTTGTATCTATTTTCATTCACACAGGAGTGTCATTAGAAAAAAAGAGGGGGGAGGATAAAAAGTAGAATATTATAAAGTATTATGTAACAAAAACATTGATGCAATTAGTTTTGCTGTAAGTAAATCTGAGATCTTAAAATATGCAAAACATGATCATATTTCAATTAAGTACAGGTTGCAAAGTTGCCACCATGGAAAACAAAATGTCCATGGAGAGAGTAAAACCATTATAAAAAATTACTTTGGGACTTCATGTAAAGCAATCATATCGAGAGCTATTGATTATAGGTGAAGGAAACTATTGTAATATAGGTAAGATATAAACTTAATGTGACTATGAAATTTATATTCACAACATTTATATAATACTATCTTGATGGAAATTTTTACATTTAATAAAAAAAGAAACCACCTTAAAACTGCACAATTATTTCATTTGCTAATTTTCAAGGTTTCTTTTTTTAAATCTTTTATAAGTAGATAGTTGTTTTGGTAATGAAGACAACCTACACTACAAATGAATAAGATATGTGAATGCTATTTTATTAGGGAATTGTCATGGACCTGGAAAAAAACCTGAACAGTAAAATACATAACTACTGAGATACCCTGTAAATAAATAAAGTGCTTAAAGCAGAGTAGCTAGGGAGGTATATCTAATGTTGCTCGACACCTCTCTTCTGGACTAAAGAATGATAAAGGAATTACTGCTTTCCATTGAGTGTCTTTAAAGAAATAAAGCATATATAACAAAAGAAAGTGTAAGTACATGATCCCAACCATTGCTTTTTTTCCTACTAACTTTTCATCTCTTAAGTTAAAAGACAAAGAACAAGTACAAACAGAACTGGCCCTTTCCAAGTCCACTTGTTTGCTGGTTTGCTTTTTCCCCCAAAATCTGTAAGAGTGTCAAGAAATAGAACAATGTATACACGCATTTCTCCCTTCCTATTTTACCACTAGCTTTCATGTGAAAGTTGTCAAATATTTAAAAGCCCAAGGAATAAGTTTTAATTAAATTATACAACTACAGCCATTTTTTCAAAAACTTACACTGTGAGTCAGTTAAGATACTATAAGATATGACAAGGTGTTAATGAATTAGTGAAAACATAATTTAAGCTAAATATTAAAAGTGAATTGACTTCACAATCCTCAAATATTAGCCAATTAAATCTTGCAGCAAACTATCATAAACCAAGAGAGTGCTTTATAGTTCTACTTAGCGTCAAATGATGATAAAAAGGAGAAATGAATGGCCTAGATGGTAGCAAGTAGACATTTTTACACCTTGAATGACTTGAGAGTGGCTGGAGGATAAAGAAACTAAACTATCCTTCATGAAAGATGTATAGAACTTTTCTAACCTTAATTTTAAAATTCATATTTTCAGAATTTAATGAAACTGAAGAAATTATATTGAAGGTATGTGTGTTGCAGATAACACAGCTTTTTATTTTTAAAGACTCTTGAGTTGCTACCTAATTCATTTATGGCTCTCAACATAAATTTTAATTTTTTTAACATCATAACAAAAGTAGATTGGAAGACAGTGGCAATGTGATGTAATCATTAAATGATGCCAGCAATAAAAAAAATCGGAACCTTTGAAGAATAGGAAGAGGAAGGATGGGGGGGGTGGGCTGAGGAAAAAAAAAGAGTGCCTTATTGCTTCCTCTAGTACAAAAACTCTTCAGATGTTTATTATCTTCCTGCAGAAGATGCTTGTCTATATTTTATGGTCAGCAGTTCACAGAAGAGTAAATAGGCTGGGTCTAGAAGAAAATAAAAAAGGTGTTTCTACTTACCGTTAGGTGATACTGCCTCCATATTTCTGGGCAAGT